TCCTTCTCATTATATGACCAGCCCATCAATGCTTTGTCCTAGAGACGTATTCCGCTGGGTCGGAAGACGAGACATTGATTTCTTATCTGAACTGCGAAGTCCGACGATATGTTGAGCACGTCGGTTGTACCTTAGAAGACGTCGTTTTAGCACTCTGTAAGTTGTTCGGAGTGCCTTCGACGTAGCCACATTGTCAGGCCACGTCTCTGCTGCGTAACAGAACGCAGGGAGAACGATTGAATCGCACAGGTGGGCTGGGAGCTCTGGGTCCGTCAGTTGATCTATGGTCCTTTAGGGGCCCGAAGGCGGCCCAAGCTACTCTTTGCCTCCTGTTTAGTTCATCTTTCAGATCATTCCCCACGTTCATTGAACGTCCGAGACATACGAAAGAAGACATCTCCGCAATTGAAGACCTTCTAATTCCATTACCTGATCCTCGCAAAAAAAGCGTTCTTCATAAACTGTCTTCTTCCCGTTAGTCTTAACCGCTTCCCTACTTCGTTCAGTTCTTTCAACATTTTCTTCGCTCCAGTGATATCTCGAGGTGAACAATGTCATCCGCAAAACGAAGGTTCGAGAGGAATCTCCCACCAACTCGTATACCTCTCTCGCTCCAATCTACTGATTTCATAACCCACTGCAACGCGGCGGTACAGCTTTGGCGAAACGGTGTCGCCTTGTCGAACCCCTTCGAGGTTGGTATGTAGGGGACGATGGAAAAACTGCGTTGCAGAGCAGTTCCTGTAGCAGTCGGCCAATGTCCTCACAGAGGGTCCACCCCTTGGTCGACGAGCGCTGACAGTATGGCATTAGTCTCGACGCTGTCAAACGCTTTCTCATGCGAAGGTTAGGACGAGGGGTAGGCGGTACTTTCGGCAAACCTCGATAATCCTCGAAAGTATCGAATGCGATCTGCAGCTAAATCCCTTGCGAAATCCAGTTTGTTCTACAGCTTGAACTTCATCCACTGTTGATATGCGAGCGAGAATAATCTTCGTGGAGAGCTTGTAAAGCACGCTCAGCACGCATATTGAACGGTAGTTCCGAACACCCTCCTCATTGCCCTTCTTATGAAGAAACTGTTTAAGGGGTTCTCCTCTAGTCAGGGATTCTTTCCTTTGAAAGTCAGATGTTAGATATTCCGCAAGTATCTCGTGTAGGCAATGTCCTCCAGCTCTTAAGAGATCGGCCGGAACGTCGTCCAGCACCGGAGCCGTGGCCGCCTTCATGATTGAATT